CCAAGGAGAATAGTTCAAAGCTGACCATAGTGATATTCAGCAATGAGATAGGTAGCACTTTCTCTAGGATGAGTTCACGAACTTAATTGTCCAACCTCATGGAGATGGTCTGAGACAGTAAGTTTCTGACTGGAAGAGCCTCAGAAGAGAAGATGCAGCCACGTGTCTTAGGGAGTTTGGACCTTCCACTCAACCTGGAAGGTGGCCCACATCACTTTACAGGGCTCCCACACTGTCAGTGAATTAAGGGCAGGAGTCCTGGTAATGCTCAGAGAATCAGAAAACAGAAAGCACCTGACCTTTTTACACACAAGGAAGTATGTACCTACATTGTTGAGGTAGCCTGATTCCTGGGAGCTAGGCCAGGAGCAGGAGAGGAGAAACCAGAGCAGCCAAAAGAGGAAAGTTTACCAAAGAGTATTCTGGAAACCCTAAAGTTTAATGTCCCCAAAGCTATTTGATTTTCCTGGAACCCCATAATTCCTGTCATGAGCCACTTTCTCCTTAAACCATGCACCCTTTAAACTGCCATTTTCTCTAACTACATAAATCCTGCCAGCCTGTATTGAGGGCAAAGCAACACAGGCAACCTGGCTTCACATCCTACTTCTGTCATTTACCAGCTGTGTAACTTTAAGCAAGTAAAATCATATCTCTGGGCTTCATTTTCTCCAACTGTAAAGTGTATACGATAATGTACCTACTTGCGGAGGAGGCTGTGGAGTAAATAAGATAAGGCATGCCATAGGTCTACCACAGCACGGGAGACATAGCAAGAATGACAAACTTTTTGGTGTTGTTATCAATCAATCAATGATTAGCACCTTTTAGTAATTAGCACCTTTACTGTGCTAATTACTCTGAGAGACATAACGCAAGATCTCCATCACCAAAGTCAAGTAGAAAATTCAGGCAAAGGCAAATATTTATTCTGAACCTAATTCCATTTTGGGGTCCAAATAATCCATACTAAAGTCACTATTCCCCTCTGTGCCTGGGACAGCACAGCCTCCGTTAATTTCAGCCCCATGGAGGGAGCACCCCCTTAGGAGAAGACCCTGTGATTGAGCCCCACTCAAGGACACAAAATTGTAGGTTTCTGTCTTTGAGTGACACTTTGTCTAATTCAATACTCCAAGAGCCCTTAATTAGTTGAGTATGGTCCCTACCCATCAGACAATCCAAATGCCAATGCAGGAATTCCTCAGGTGCTCCCCACTTCAAATGCCAATGAAGCTCAGAGAGGGGTATGGCACTGGCTCCCAGCCACACTGTTCTACTCACTCCAGAAGTCAAAATTCTCTGGGAGGGATTTTCTTCTTTGTTTCCCTAGACATAAAAATGCTAGCCAAATATTGGAGGTGAAGGGGTTAACAAGGACACCTGTATATTATTTATGAGGTCTGACAATTAAGTTTGCAAACTTGTTGCAACAATGTTACTAACCTTTTTGATATCAGAGGGATTATTCATTATGAATTTGTACCAACTGGACAAACAGTAAACCAAGTTTACTATTTGGAAGTGCTGAAAAGGCTGCATGGAAAAGTTAGATGACGATGACCTGAACTTTTCACCAATAATTCATGGCTCTCGCATCACAACAATGCACCAGCTCACATGGCACTGTCTGTGAGGGAATTTTTAGCCAGTAAACAAAAAACTATTGGAACACCCTCCTCACTCACCTGATCTGGCCCCCAATGATGCTTTCTTTACCCGAAGATAAAGAAAAGATTGAAAGGAAGCCATTTTGATGACATTCAGGACATCAAGGGTAATATGATGACAGCTCTGAATGGCCATTCCAGAAAGAGTTCCAAAATTGCTTTGAAGAGTGAACTAGGCGCTGGCGTCGGTGCATAGCTTCCCAAGGGAAGTACGTCAAAGGTGACTGTAGTGATATTCAGCAATGAGGTATGTAACACTTTTTCTAGGATGAGTTTGCAAACTTAATTGTCAAACCTCCATATGTCAACATACGTGGGTCTCAAAAGGAAACAAGCTTCCACCCTTTTTTTCACTTTTAATTTTCACATAATTGTAAATTTACACGCAGTCATAAGAACTAAAATACAGAGGTCCTGCTTCCCTTCTTGCATGACTATAGAACAATTTCACAACCAGGAAATTGATAAGATACAATCCACCCACCTTATTCAGATTTCACCTGTTTTAGCAGTGTATGTGCGTACACAAGCGCGCATGCACGTGTGGGTGAGTGTTTAGTTCTGTGCAACTTTATCACATGTGTAGATTCATGTACACACTATGGTAGTCAAGATACGAAGAGTTCCGTCATCCCTCCCCCACCCCACCGCCTGGCAACCACTAATGTGTTCGTTATCGCTATAATTTTGTCATTTCAGGGATGTTACACAAATGGCATCACACAGTATATAACCTTTTTAGACTGGCTGTTCTTTCTCAGCATAACTCCCTTCAGATCCACCCAGGTTGTTGTGGGTATCAATCATTTGTTCCTTTTTGTTCCTGAGTACTAGTCCTTGATATGGAAGGACCACAATTTCTTTATCCATTCACCTACTAAAGTATATTTTGGTTGTTTCCATTTTTTGGCTATTAGAAAGAAGTCTGCTTTGACCACTCACATTCAGGTTTTTCTGTAAATATACGTTTTTATTTTTCTGGTATAAATACCCAAAAGTACAATTTTAGGGTCATATGGTAAGCATATATTTAGTTAGAACCTGTTATACTGCTTTCCAGAGGGGCCATACCATTTTACACACCCACCAGCAATGGGTGAGTAACCAGTGTCCAGTTCTTCACCAGCACTTGGTATTATCACTACTTTTTTATTTTAACCATTCTGATAGGTGCGTAATGACATCTCATTGTGGGGGTTTTTTAAAGATTTTATTGGGGAATTGGGGGAGGAAAACAGCATTGGGGAATTGGGGAACAGACAAGTTGCTGTCCTTTTGTTCTTCAGTCTAGTTGTGGAGGACATCACTTCACTGGCCCATGTTGGTATTATCATTGCGCTCTTCCTGGGTGAGGCAGTTGCTCACCGGCCATTGGATGGCCGCTCATGGTGGCTCATGGCAGCTCATGAAAGCTCACGCCAGCTGCTGGCCAGCCCCACTGCAACCTATGCCGTCGCTGGTGACTCATGGCAGCCCAGCTCCAGGTTGAGCTGTTGTTCACCATCTTAGCTGTAAAGGGCGCAGCGTCACTGGCCCTCATGTGGGATCTGAACCGGGCCCTGCTGCTCAGAGCTGGCGTCCCAAGCCAACTCTTAACCACCCAGCTGGCCCCTCATTGTGGTTTTAATTGCATTTCCCTGATGGCTAATAACATTGAACATCTTTGCATGTGCTTATTTGCCATCTGTATATCTGCTTCAGTGAAATGTCTAATGTTGTCTTTTGCCCATGTTCTTATTGGATTGCTTGTTATTCTACTCTTTAGTTTTGAAAGCTCTTTATATATTCTAGACATATCCTTTGTCAGATATGTGGTTTGCAAATATTTTCTTTCAGTCTGTCTTTTCATCTTCATAGGGTCTTCTGAAGAACAGACATTTTAAATTTTGATGAGGTCCAATTCATCAACTTTTCCATTTCTGGGTCATGTTTTTGGTGTCAAGTTTAAGACCTCTTTGCCTACTCTTTGGTCCTGATGATTTTCTCCTGTATGTTTCTCTAAAAGTTTTGAAGTTTAGTATCTTACATTTAGGTCTTGGATTCACTTGAGTTAATTTTTGTATAAGATATGAGATTTATATCAAGTTTCATATTTTTGCTTGTGGATGTCCGATTGTTTTAACACCATTTGTTTCTTGAAAAGCAATTTGGCGATACTTATCATGAGCCTAAAGAATGTTCATAGCTTTTTTTCCTGTCACTTCTGAGAATTCATTCTAAGGAAATAATGCAGAAACACGAATAAAAGTTATAAGCTTGGGAAATAATCACTGTCACATTTTTTATAACATTGAAAAATTAGAAGTAATCTAAATGCCCAATAATAAGAAATTGGTTAAATATGGTGCACACACATAGAATAATTTGCAACAATAGAAAATACATTTACTCAATAACTTTTACCCATCCAATAAACATTTTCTCAGTAAATGCACACTGTGCCAAGGCAAACATGGTGAGCAAATTATCGATACATACCATCCCTGCCTTCTAGAAACTCACAGTCTAGAAGGGAGAATAGAGAAAACAATTTTGCTACCTAGAAAATACATCTGGTAAACTAAAAAAGTATCATTGTTTTAGGGTGATTGGCTCAAGGGCAGATTTGTTTAGGTTTTTTATTTTTCACCCTGTCTTTTCCATACCTCTCACAACACTTTCTCTTTGTAATAATAACAATGACAAAGGGAAAAACTTCATTGGAGAAATAGCTTCTTGCTGTGTAAAGGTTAGGAGTGCCCACCTGAAGAGGCGACAAGCACATGTGTAACAGCCCAAAGGTCATGGAAAGGGCCACCACAGTTAGGTGTTCCAGCACCCAGCTACGTCATGCTGGATGGTTCAACCAGTCAGCAAGGATCAATGGGGCATCTGCAAGGTGACCTGTATCACAAGATGCACTAGGTCTTTAAGAATAGACAGTCCCTGACCTCTTGAGGCACTTGCAAGGAACTCTAATCTCAATCTTTCTCATGCTTATTCAGTATTTTACACTTTGCAGCTTGTGCGTCCCCTCGTATTATCCTCTCAACAAACCTGTACAGGTGTCAGGAAGGGCTTGGGATGGGGCCTTCTGCCTCTAAGGCCAGTGCTGTTCTCAGAATACCACCACTGCCTCAAGAACAGCTGTGATAACAGTGGGCTCATGGCCAGCGAACAATCGGCAGATAGATAATGAAAATTTAAATCACGTTAATAAGAAAGCACATACCTGGGGCAGTGGGGTAGGCTCCTCTCTCCTGGTGTGCTTGGGGCTTTAGGTTGCGGGGATCAAGACAGTGAGGAGAATGTGATATAAAATGTGGGCTCACCTCTCCTCCCTCTCCGTAGATGGTGAAGGCAATCCAGGTCCTGAGAATCCACCTGCTGGAGTTGGAGAAAGTCAATGAACTCTGCAAGGACTTTTGTAACCGTTACATCACCTGCCTCAAAACCAAGATGCACAGCGATAACCTGCTCAGGAATGATCTCGGGGGGCCCTACTCCCCCAACCAGCCCTCCATAAACCTTCACTCACAGGTAACACACAGGGCTGAGTCACATGTCTTAAGCCAGATATAGGAATGCCTGAAGGTCTCCTGGTGACTTAGGAAACTGGATTAGACTCACTGAATCCTTTCACTGTAAGGGCCCCTCCTCTGATCCACTCCTTCTATTCATCAGGCACCATAGTTCTTTTTTGACCAGAGCCCACCATGGCAGAGCATTAGTATTTTCTAGAAGATGACCAGAGCTGATAGAGACAATGTCCAAAGTGATTCTTGGCTTCCTGGCCCAAGATACCCCAAGAAATGAGCATAAGCGTTAAGGAGATGGAAAGCTTTTCTTTCTTTTTCTTTTTCTTTTTTTTTTTTTTTAAGATTTTATTGGGAAATTGGGGAAGGGGAACAGTATTGGGGAATCGGGGAAGGGGAACAGACAAGTTGCTGTCCTTTTTGTTCTTCAGTCTAGTTGTGGAGGACGTCGCTTCACTGGCCCATGTTGGTATTATCATCGCGCTCTTCCCGGGTGAGACAGTCGCTCACCAGCCATTGGTCAGCCGCTCACAGCGGCTCACGGCAGCTCACGGCGGCTCACGCCAGCTGCTGGCCAGCCCCACTGCAGCCTATGCCTTCGCCGGCGACTCACAGCAGCCCAGCTCCAGGTTGAGCTGTTGTTCACCATCTTAGCTGTAGAGGGCAGTGTCACTGGCCCTCATGTGGGATCTGAACCGGGGCCCTGCTGCTCACAGCTGGCACCCCAAGCCAACTCTTAACCAATGCGCCACTCGGCCGGCCCTGGAAAGCTTTTCTGAAGGATGAGGCAGGGCCAGACAGCTGGGAACGAACCCAGACATCCCAGCTCCATAGACTTCTCAAAAAGGCTTGTTGAGCTCTGTGGGTTCCTGAGAAGGAGGGCTGCAGGGAAAGTGGTCCTTTCCTGAATCCTGCCCACTTAATAGATGAAGACATTCCTTCCCCTCCCCCTCCATGGGGCTGCTTCTCCCCAACCATTATCTAGTTGTTCACCTTGCCCTGGTACATCTGTCTCCCTAAGGGTCAGGGCCACTACTAATGTCACCTCAAATCACCCTCTCTCAAGAGTCACCTGCCACCCTCATGCTGGCAGCTGGGAAATGTGGAAACAGTGGCTAGGTGCTCTGGGTGAGGCTGGGCTCTTTTCTCCAGGGCAGAATATTTTCCCAGAACCTACAAAATAAGAACGCTGCCTGGTGATACCTGTCCTTCAAACTCACTGGTGTCTATGTACTCCATAAGCCGCCCACTTTCTTCCTCTCCCACTGAATTTCTGAGTCCAGGACAGACCCATGGAGGGGCCCCAGGTGGTTTAGAGTAGCCTCTTCTCATGAGACAATCAGGCTTGGAGATATGGACAAACCTGCTAAGAATGATTCGCAAGAGGTGCTGGAAAGGGTGCTTATGAAATTCGGTGGTGCTGTTTTTACTCCTAAGTTTTGAGGACCAACACATACAATCTATCTCTCTAGGTTGGTATAGGCAGGAGAAAGGGACAGGGTGACCTCTAGTAGGCCAGCCATGCCTTGTACATTTTAACAACAAGTAGTATCGCATCAAACCCACCCCACTGGGATCTCTCTGAGACTCGATAGTGAGTACAGCATGGGACATGAGGCAGGAAGTTTATTTCCTCTTCCCATTGCTTGAAATCACCAAATCACTTTATTACAGATCTGAAAACAGCCGCCCAGGCTTCTGCTTGCTAATATTCTCTTGAAATAGACTCATTCCTTCAGAGTCTTATTGTACTTTCCCTTATGATCAAAATTAGCAAGAAACTTGCATAAAAGAGGACAATAATTGCTCAACGAGCATCTCGTTTGTAATTTATTAGTTTCTATTATTGTGGGTTACCATGGTGATGCTGCACAGCCCCGGTGACGGGAGAGATGCAAGATAGGCGCCGAGGATGCTGTGAGGCCTCACCAAATGGAGATGCACATTTTTATCAGTAATTTTCATGAAAATAATAAGTGAGGAGTTAATGAGATGGAAAGCCATCCTGTGGCTATTGTGAATTTTTTTTAAGTGTTGATCTAATTAGAATGCATCGGTCAGGAAAAGTAATGAGGGTTTAGTGCCTCACAGAGATGTGAGGATCATATCAGAAAATTAGCACCAGTCTTTGGAAATAATCAGGTCCTTGGAGAGGCACTGGATTTCCCCTCCTGGGCCTTCCAACTCTACCCCCAGCTCTGGCATTGGGAGTGTACCAGGGTGGCTGGGGAAGAGAGGAGGGCCAGCAGGCTCAGCAACCACAGCAGCCCCTCAGGGTTGGGGTCCTGAGGCCGACAAGTGCATCTGCACAAGCAGGGTCACTGGAGACACAGAGCTGGCAGAGAAGAGAACATGGGCAAGGTCTCAGATATGCTGCCTGTAAAAGTCAGTCCCCCTGGGATCACAGCTTTCAGTGCTTCTGAGCTCCAAGGAAAGAGGAAAGAACTTTGATTTCTATTACTGCCCGCATCAGATCTCTGCCTGACTGTGAAGCTGGCCCTGAGGTGGCCACTGCAGAAAGCCTCTGATTCACTGAGAAAGAAATCAGACAATCGGGCAAAAACAAAGACACCAGGAAAGAGGGAAAGCCACTCAGCGAGGCATTTCTCAAACTTGTCCTTTCATTTCCTCTGACTGCCACCACCTACTTAGTTCAAGCTTCAGAGAGTAAATAAGGTCATTACACACAGGCTACTGCCAGAGCTTTCTAACCTGCTCTCCTGTCCTCTCTGGCTATCCTCAGCCCTCCTACACACACACACACACACACACACACACACACACACACAATCACACACTCACTCGTACACACATTCAAATGCACACATACGCAATCACTTGTGCACACACGTACACACACACACACACAATCACACACTCACTCATGCACATATGTATGTACACACACACACACACGCACACACATACACACACCTCTTAAGCTTCTGTTGCTAGATTTATCCCCCAGCACTCTGTTCTTGTCATTCTGCTGATCAAAAACTCTGCTTGCCCCCCAGAGTTTTCAAATTCTTTCCACGACATTTAAGGCCCTCCCAGGTCACCGTGCTTCCAGGTCCATCTGTTTGGGTGAGGGCTGCACATCTCTGCAGGACCAAACCCAGCCTCTTCCCAAGGGCAGTAACAGGGCTGCTCTCCCAGCAGAAGCCTCCGTGACACCCCACCCAGAATGGACTTTCCTTTCTCTTAACTAACAGCTGGAGCACTCTGGGATATTTGTATGGTAAATATCACATGTAGCTTTATATTATAGTCCCTTGTGTAAGCTTTACTTCCTCTCCTAGAAGACAAGCATTATTTGAGTAGACACAGTATAGTATATATTATTATAACCCACACCTGACAATGGCAACCACGGGGCCTTCTGCATGAAAGACAGCCAGTGAAAATCTGTCGAGAGAAGTAATATGGTGAGAAAGATGAAGACCGCAAGACTGACAGGCAAGAGGAAGCCAGAGGAAGAAGGAGAAATAGAAGAAAGGGAAAGGGAAAGAAAGCTATGTTGAAGGTATTGTGTAGGAGAGAGGTAGAGAAAGGCTGAAGGGTTGGAGGAAAAATCATGGGAAAGACACTCAGACCTGGAGAAGGGAAGTGAGGTGAAGAAAGTCAGAGACAGAAGAAATGGAAGGAGGACTGGTGGCAATCATGAGATGAAGGATGTGGGTCAGTGCAAAGTCTGAAGTGCATGGAAAGGAGAAGGAACTAGGACGCACAATGGGCTGTCCCCATTCACGTCCCAGGTCAGGCTCCTGTCATTGTCTCGCTGAGGTAAGCTGTGACTAGCATGGGCCTTCGCAAGGAGGACAAATCTGGAGTTGCAGGAGACTGTTCAGTGCAGGAGGCGGCCTCAGGATCAGGACACAGGAACCAGTAGGGAGAGGAAAGAGAAAAGGAGTGTCGGGTGCGTGCGTGTGTGTGCGTGTGTGTACGCATGCATCATGACTCGATCTTAATCTCTCCAGCCTGAAATAGCAGCACTGAGTGCCAGCCTGGCCTGGGGAGGGGTGTCTCCCCTCTGGAATATGATTCTTGGGATCAACATTCCAACTACGTGCCAGCTTTGTTGAAAACTGCTGGCTCATGGGTTTTTTTTTTTCCATGTGCTAATCATTCAGCCTTGTGTTGCAGGGTAGAAGATGTTGTTTTTATTCAAATGGGTCCCCTCCTCACCCCCGCCTCAGATGCCATACTGTGTCCCCATCCAGCTCTATGGGGTCTGGGCACGTTCCCTGCTTGGCCTTCTATTTGTGGGTTTTCTCTTTGTGGGTGCAATGGGGAAGGGGAGTGGGGGAGACTGCTTCTACCAAGCCAGAGAACTAAACAGTTTCAAGGACTTGGACCACAGTCTGTTCTTTCCTCGTCCCTGGGAAGTCACCCTGGACTGCCTGCACCTCATGACACCCAGGATTCCTGACTCCTCAGAGCCCAGGCTTCTTGCAGGGGTAGCATCCTCAGTAAGGAGGCTCATATTAGACTCAGACTCGGGGTTCCTCTCCCTTTATCTTGATGGCACAGACTAAACCACTCCACTAGAGAGAACCTAACTCCCTTCTCACCCAAGTATTAATTTGACCTAAAATCCATCCCTCTGTCTCCATGGAGATTTAAACCTCAGCTCTACGCCAGGACAAATTGAGCTGAGCCACAGTTCTCATTCAGTTGCTAAGCATTTGGAGGGGCACTTACTATGTGCACCATGCTAAATCCTGTGAGAACACAGTGAATCATGCAGGAGGAGTGCCCCATCTCAGCAGGAGGGGCTGTGAGTGACAGCTGAAGAGATAAACTATGTGAGCCACCAAAGGCTCTGGGTGGAGGGAGCACAGAGGGAGGGCAGGAAAGGAACCACCACAGAGATGGGAGATGAGCTGCAAGAGGGGGTCTGGATTGAGCAAACTATATGTGTAGCTTGGGGTTGCCCAGTCACCACTCAGCATTCTTCTTCCTCCCCCAGGGGAAGCCCAGGCCTAGTCTGCACACCCTCAT